GCTAGTCATCACCACCCACCGCCAACTCTTGGGCTACTCTTTTAACAACGAATAGTGAGATTGACCGTCACATTATAACGCCCCAACGGCTGAAAGGGCCAGCATGTTTGGTGGGACGGGGATTGGAACCCGCGACACTCAGATTGCGAGTCGAGCGCCCTAACCACCTGGCGCCATGCCGGGCTCGAATTAATAAATCAACAAATTATTCTACATTAATAAGTTATGGAAAAAATAATTAATATAAATAAATATGTTTTTACTAGTAACGAAATATCTCCCGGTGGGACAGCAGTAAACCTATGGACTACAACGTTAAAATCCGGGGTTCGATTCCCCCGTGATAAACACAGAAAATAGCCTAATGTGACTTTTCTCTCTTTGCGAAATTCAAACCAACATATAGATTTTATTTCATTCACACCAAACAGTATTAGCCTTTTAATGAATATTAGCAAAATAAAAAATACCATAAAAATAGTCTTATTCACTTAATTTAGTGCTAAAATACAGAGTACAAAATCATATGAAATATCGTGTATTCGATTCAAAAAGGTTTGTACAACTGTTATCTATTTAACCGCTAATATCTGTGCTACAAAATATTACACCTGGTGTATTAATGTTTTATTTCCCCCCAGTGGCATAGTGATATGTCTGCAGACTTACAACGCTAGAAACCGGGTTTCGATACCGGTGGTGGGCAGAGTATATATGTTCCTTTGTGTAGCTCTGTGTTTAACTACAAACAAAATATTTCATTCTCATGCTAGGTACAAAAATGAAATATGTGAGAATGACAAAATGCTTGAGATTGTTGATATAGCTAGTAGCTACCTTTAAATAATTATTTTTCATAATACACCTATTAAGTTTTAAAACCTAATACAGTTGTAGTTATGAAATGTGTTTAAGATTCATTCAATATTTTCCTAAAAAAATTGTAATGATGTGATTATATTTCGAAAATCCCCAAAACAGAAATATCATTAAGTAAAAGTTGAAAAATATAATAATCAATGATACTTTTATATACGTAAAATTTTGCTTAAAGTACAATTTTGAGTACTACGAAAAAAAAATAGTGTAATATATGTACATTTAGCATATTATTTCTTAAAAACAGAAACATTTATATTAAGTAAAATATTAAACGGCAAATTAACTTCAATGATTCGGTAAATATTTAATTGTTTATTATATTTTTATATGGCGTTATATACTAAGTATCTAAGGCATATGATACATTCGACGTTAATTGTTAAATAATACGATACCCTTTGTCTAGAGAACATGATTTTCAATTAAACAAACATAATATTACAGAATATACTCAAGTAATTTAAGTGCTAGAATAAGTAGCATAACTCTTAATAAAAAAGGTTTAACTTTTCAAATTTAGAATTGTACGTCTGTTTCTTAATCAAATACTTTCTCCAAATTAGTGAATGAAAAAAACTCGAATATTAATTCAAAAATACAATAATAGTAACTGTTTTTGTATTTTAAATTAAATATTCAGTTATGTATGTTCCTCACTAAACATTAAACTCGAAATATTATTGAACCAATAATGCCAACAACATGAGTATTAGATAATTATCAACATTTGTATTCAAAGACACAGTGTTTCTTAACTTGTGCGTTTTATGTATATAATGCTTCTTGTGAGACATTAATCAAAATAAAAAAATTGGGAAACTTACTCTACTTTTGCTCACGAGTTTTATACTGTCTTACCCGTAACTTATATTCTCATATTAATATCAGAGGGTGCTCTAGCTTTCTCTGTGTAGGGAGGGCAAGGACAATCGTATTAAAACAATACAAAATTTATCTGCATTTTGTTCTCTACAGGTCATCAGAATCTAGATACGAAGAGCTACTTGGCACACTCGCTCTATCTTCCGTATATATATGCCGCTTTTCAGTTATCCAGAGCGTCCCAAAGTCGAAAACTGGTTAGTAGCCAAAACCGAGATTTCTTATTTTCGTTCATCATCATCTTTCTTCAACAGGCCTATCGCCTACCTATTTTTAGCAGTGACTATAATTTTATCATCATTTGATAGAGTAAAACAGTCTTCACGATCTTTGACTACCTAATCTATTATTGTTATTTTATACAAAAGTTATAAAGCTTTAAAATACACTCTATTAGCTAGTAACCTACGTACACCATCTAATAATAAAACACGTAAACAAACAAGATAAAGAAAAAGTTATCGCTAAATAAAAAAGCTATGTGGGGCTGGCTACTGGACTTGAGAAAAAATGGAACCAAACACAGTAGGGATGAGAGTGGACATATCACTTGATTGGTTAACGATCACATAGTTGACTAAGCTGTCTCGACTTTACATGGGGAATAAAAATCCCCACATTATTGACTTCCTCACTGGCAAAACAAATAGAACCAGAAATTTTAATCGTAAAATGATACTCTATTGTAAAATAGTCATAAAAGTAGTATTTTAAAGTTAACTAAAGAATAGGTATAAGGATGAAAGCTGAAATTCTATTGAATTATCAGGCTTTCGATAGATAAAGCCAATAAAATGATATGTCTATTTCCATCCCAATCTTGTTTGGTTGTATTTTCCAAGTTCAGTAGCTAGCCCTAAATAGCTTTATCATTGAGCGATAAACCCCCCCCCCTTATACTTGTGTTTCAGTGTTGTAGTTGATTCTATGAATATTCTTATATTTGTTATTTAATGATTTTTGCGTAAATTTGCATTTCTATTATTTTTTTTATTTGTGAATATATTTGTCAAATTCAAACAAGGTACGTATGAAATCCACTACTATAAATGTTTAAAAGATAAAAAGAAGTATGTTATAGGTCAAACCTACCACTAAGGAGTTAATATATATATATAATTGTGGATACAACGTTTCGGGCAATGCCCTTCTTCAGGTATCACTAACTAGAGTAAAACAGTCTTCACGATCTTTGACTACCTAATTTATTAATATTCTTTGCAAAATTTATAAAGCTTTAAAGCTAGTAACCCACGTACACCATCTTATAATAAAAGTAAACAAACAAGCATAAATAACGTAGTCGAGAACATCTCAGAGACATGATAAATTGTAACACAGATAAACCATTGGCCCGACACTTCAATTTGCACATCCATACCCTTGGCCATTTTAAAATTAGTGTTTTGTTTGTTTGTAATTAAGCACAAAGATACACAATGGGCTATCTGTGCTCTGTCCACGACGGGTATCAAAACCCGGATTTTAGCGTTGTTGTTCTTATTTTGACGAAGGCCTCTACAAACAAACATAACCGCAAAGAAAACAGAATAATTTTTGACCTGGGAACTTTCCACCCCGAAGAGCTAAATGAACGTTTTAGATTTTTGTAATATTTCCCGTTTTATTTTTATCCTTTCTTAAAAGTTTTATACAGTAAATTATGTATCTATTCTTTTTAAACTATAATACTTGTATATATATTCATATATGTATGTGCATGCGTGCGTGTGTGTGCATGTGTTTGTATATGGGTATATATGTATTTATATAATCATTTGTGTGTATTTATTTGGGTGTATCTGTGTATATATATATATATATGTGTGTGTGTGTGTATGTATGTACAGATATGTGTGTGTATTTATTTTGGTGTATCTGTATATATATATATATGTATAGATATGTGTGTGTATTTATTTGGTGTATCTGTATATATATATATATATATATGTATAGATATGTGTGTGTATTTATTTGGTGTATCTGTATATATATATATATATATATATGTTATTAAGGTTATTTAAAATTACAAACACGAACTCTTTTCTGTGTTATAAAAGTTTAAATGAGAAATTATATTTATTGGCAATATTATTCTATAATAGGACAGAAATATTTAGATAAAGTAAAATTCAAGGTTAGGTAACGCCACTTTTTTCCTCTGGCAACTAAAACTCTATTGCTTAACATCAAATATCAAATAAATAAGTTATTATATTAATAAAAATATAAAACGGATATTTTCTTTATTAACAAAAACCAGTATATCTATTATAACATCATATATACATCTCATTCCAAGATCCACACGAGTTCACCAACAGTGGATCAAAGACGTTACACATTTTAGCAAAATTAAGTTCAGATGTAACTGAAAATCAGCGATACTTGTAGGTGTTCTAAATAAATGACTGTATTACATTCACTTAAATATAGTATAGAAAACAAAAGCAACTAGCTTCCGTTAATTTAGTCCGAAGGTAATCTGGGATTTTTACTTACAATGCAATGTTTTAATAATCAAACTTGCAATAACCTGATAATAGTATTCATATTCGCATTCATGGTACAAAAGTCCTACAAAGATAAAAATTAACTCTAAAATAGATTCTGAATGGAGCTTATTAACCCTCTTATCATCATAGACTGGAAATAATGAACCATCTTATTACCAAGATATCAAAGACTGAAAATCACTAACCCTTTTATTACCAAGATATCAAAGGTTGGAAATTAATAACCTTCCTATCATCAAGATATGAAATACAGGAAATTATCAACACTTCAGTAAACAAGATATTAACAGACTTACGTGACCAATATGTTTACATTTTCTATCCAACTTTTGTTCTTTGTTGTTCCATTAAATATGCGTACATAATGTATTCATGTTGGTAATCGAAGACTCTACAACAAGGCAGTTGGTTCATGGGCAACTTAGCTCACATTAACCGGAAAGTATTGGTACTTTCATCTCACATTTGTTGTTTTAAAAAAATCTAATTCTAAAACGTCCACGTTTAACTTACTTGGCCTTAGCATGAACCTGTCACACGCTGGTGATATCTCTGTCTTCTAAGTTGCATATCATTAAAAATAGACAACATTATACTATATCATACTCATATCATTTTAAAGTCCTCTAACTTTGGTCATAAAAACAACTTTATCTTCTTTCATTTTTAAAGAAACTTTTTACAAGTAACTTAGGACAATTAATCATTCTTGCTTTATACCATCCCAATAATGGATATAATAGTGTCGTATAGCAAGAACTTCATACAATAGTTTTACTATTAAGTGTTTCATCCAGAGGCTAATAACAATCTCATAATGAAGTACAGAAATTGTACCAGGAGCCAAGGCAATTGAAGAGATTCATCTAAAGACTACGAATAATAATAATATCAAAGTGTTATCCATATCTACAGGGGACTTCTGTAACGGACAACATACCAGTAGTGTAATATATAGTGCCAAGTAATAATGGCAACTAAATGATGACATCTGAAAACCAATGCCAATTGTCTAATATATAGTACTTAGTCTCTACATGTCCTTACGTGAATTAAATTATTACACCAGGAGACTGATATCAATTTTCTAATATGTAGTACCTAGTTTCTACGTGTTGTCACATTAACTAGATTAAAAAAATTGACACCATATTCTGCCTTTATTTCGATCAACATTAAATTGAAAATAATGGACACATGTTGAAACATGTTTTAATTTATTCCATAGCCAGAATACAGGAATTTATCATCATATCTAGATAAATTATTATTTCCATCAGCAGAAAAAGGTAAATCGAAATAAAATAATTTTTTTCACCATCTCATCATCACACCTAACTGTATAACAAACAAGAAACAAGCACCATGTTTCGTGAGGTTAAAGAGTCAACCCTCTCATTATCCAATCTTCAGGAACCGCAAATTGTACTGTTGAGAATATTACTGAGAGAAATAACCTAACAGGTTCAATATACATAAATAAATGTAAATAATTTTGTATAGAATTCAAGTTAAACCTTCATGATTATTACATTATCCCAGTGTCACATGGTTAACATCAACTTTACTTTCTCATTTGCTGTTTCTTGTTCCAAACGGGCACTACAACGGTCTTATTTTAGTTAATTTATGTACCAGACAGGCTCATGTTAGCCAAAGAAGGGTGCAAACTATAGATCCTATTGAAATACGACGGCATACAAGCACGTCTGAGCTTTGCACATGAGCATAGTTACCCTATCCTATTTTATTTAATTGTTAACTGCTTAAAAATTTAATCTATATTTTTTATTTGTAGCTCAGCACAAAACTACACAATGGGCTATATATACTGTGTCAACCTTTGGTATTGAAACCCAGTTTTTTGTGTGTAAGTCCGCAGACTTACCCTTTGAGCCACTGGGGGGCTAAAACAAATCTTTAAAATTAAATATTTATGATGATACTTGCAAACGATATGTTTTATTTCAATTTGATTTAAAAAATGGTAGGATTTGTGATTTGGTTCGTTGTTGTTTGTTTTTAAAGCCATACAGAATAGTTTATTTCTTATTAAAAGAAAGTTTTTCAACAGAAAAAAATTAGGTTGTTTAAAAGCACTAACAATTCAGTTATAGCATCCTCACTAATGATTTTATGTTTATTTGTTGGAAAGGAAGCTATGTGATAGTTGTTTTTATAGTATAGCTTAAAGCTCATTGGCAAAGAAGATTGTGATATTCATTTTTATAGTTTTAAACCTTACTGAAAGCAGATACCCGGTGGCTATTCTCAAAGTTTAAACTTCATTGAAAAATAAGTTATGTGGAATCTCCGTGGAAAAGAAATTACGTTATGGGCATTTTTATAGCTCAAATATAATTTGAAAGATGATACATGGTGGTTATTCTTAATGTTTAAACCTCATTTGAAAGGATATTACGTGCTAATCATTCTTGAGGTTTAAAACGCCCCTTATTTGTCACACCAATAATTTGGAGAGTAAAGTTTTTATAAAGTATATTTTGAATATTTTTGACATTGAACGATGTTGTATGCCTCATCGCTATTACATAATAGTCAAACTTTGCCACTGTTAGGTTAGTTTAAGCCCAGCGATGGCGTTGCAAGGCCCGGCATGGCCAGGTGCATAGGGCGATCGACTCGCAATCTGAGGGTTGCGGGTTCGAATCCCCGTCACACCAATCATGCTCGCTCTTTCAGTCGTGAGGGCGCTATAATGTGACGGTCAATCCCACTATTCGTTGGTAAAAGTGTAGCCCAAGAGTTGGCGGTGGGTGGTGATGACTAACTGCCTTCACTGTAGTCGTACACTGCTAAATTAGGAACGGCTAGCGCAGATAGCCTTCGTGTAGCTTTGCGCGAAAATTCAAAACAAACAAACGATGGCGTTGCAGCCCTTCCTTGCTAATTTGTATATTGTGTGCGCTCATTATATAACACTTATATAAAAGTACATAACGAAAACCGTTTCCTCACCTTGATACCTTTTCATTGGTAAGAAACAATCTGCCACTAGAGGGTGGTAATTTTATATCATGCCATGGTTTATGTTTTCGGCATTTTAATGGTGCTTGTATCATAAGTGGTAATTGACAACAAAAGTAGGGCTGCTAAATGTTATGTTGTAGTAGTTCTGCTGTCTAAAGTTATTGAACATATTAAAAGTACATTTCTGACCCTGTCTTCAGTGTCAAGGGAAGTTTTCATTTTAATATGGTTACTTGGCCCACCGATGTAAATTTTCTCCTGATGTCTGTGTTGTATACTACACATGTACATGTTTTAAAAGGATGTCAGTGGCCTACCTGAGAAGAGCTTCAAGGGGCCAGGGGTGTGGGAGGCTTTCTGTCCCATTGCTGGGGTTTAAAGGAACTGAAAACAAAACTTCTATCTGAAAAGGTATGAGTTTTTAGCTTATTTTAGCTGAATATTAAATTTGAGGAGACAGGACATTGTTAAAAGACAAGATAGAACTGCGTTCCATTGAACTGTGTGTGTGTGTAAAACAAAACGGTTACATTAACTCGATTATTCTAAATAACATTTGTGCTACTGTTATTGTTGAACACTATTGATATGTTATTGTTGAAGTATTTTTGAACATTATTGACATATTGTTGACATACTGTTGAACATTATTGATATATTGATAACAGTATATGTTGAATATCCCGTCCCGTCATCACGGTTTTTTTATTCTGCCTTATTTTTCGAAGTTTACAAGTAATGAAAAAAACAGTTGAAAGGCAAAAATGGATGGATAACGTGATTTTTATCTTTAGTGATATTGCAGTGGCCACAATAAAATATAATATCTTTATATGTTATCTGCCTTGTACGGGTATCCGGAGGAATGCATTGTGACATTCAAAAAAAAAAAACGTACACAAAGTAAGGGTAAAGGGTAAGTTGAAAGTTTACATCACTTAAAGCAAACACTTATAAATGTATACACATATATTTTTTCTCAAGTAAGGTGAATGGGTATTTACACATTGATTGTAAAAGATGTTTGGAAATAAATGTGCTTTATTTTTCCTCAAATATCATTGTCTTCTGAAGCCCATTCAGAACTTATTGATCAGATTAAATCAAAAGAAGAATTAATGGAAGGAATTGCTATTCTGAAAGACAAAGATAAGCAAGCTGGCAAAAGAAAAGAAAAACTAAAAGAATCCCTTGTCAGTATTGAAGATACAAATGTATATCTATATGTTACAGTTCTGAACTCGTATTACTGAACAATAATCGTCCCATAAAAAGACATTTAATAACAACGTTTTATTGCATTGATTTTTCAGCTTTTCGGTTATGGATTTCATTTAGTGTGTGAGTTTATAGTTTTCAAAATATAACAAACAATTTAAAAAACCTTTGTTTTCTGTTGCGGCAAAGTTTGATTTTGTAACTGCAGATGTTAATTTTAACAGCACACTACATTAAGGCTCACACATTAAGGATGTAACATATTACAGATTACAAAGAGCTCACACACACACAGTAAAAATATCCTATTGAAACATAATACAGGCTACACAAGGTTTAAACAGTAAGGATTTACTATTGTAACATACTACAGGCAACATAAGGCTCACACAGTAAGGATTTACTATTGTAACATACTACAGGCAACATAAGGCTCACACAGTAAGGATATACTATTGTAACATACTACAGGCAACATAAGGCTCACACAGTAAAGATATACTATTGTAACGTGTATAAGATATTCGGGTATTTTACATTTTGCATGTTTGAGTAATAATCATGCATTAAATAGTACTTAAACATTTTACTGTGAAAAGCAAACACAATACGGCGTTCTTCTGGTAAAAGTCCACCGGTGAGTCATAGGTACGTTTACGGACTTACAACTTAAAATCGAGGGCTCGATTCCTCCCGATAGACAGCATGCAGATAACCATTATGTAGCTTTACACTTAGAAAACAACATAACCTTCTCGTAAAGACTATTTTAGTAACAAACAATATAATTGTAGTTAATCTTTGTTCAGGTCTTCCTTCAGAAGTTGAAGATTTTAACAGGATTAAAACAAAAAACTGAATCTTTTTTCATGTCTTCCTTCAGCAGTGGAAGATTTTAACAGAATTAAAACAAAAAACAATCTTTGTTCAGGTCTTCCTTCAGCAGTGGAAGATTTTAACAG